ATAAGTAACACAATGTTTTAACATCATTCTCTAGTTATTTTTCACTTACTTTTACACCTAAAGAGTTGGTGTACAATATAAAGTCTAGAAATTAATTTAATTTTTTGAAAATTTAAAACCAACAAATTTAGTCGAGGCAGACAATATTATTAATTTCAAAAAAAAAAAATAATCATTAAATAATATAAAGTCTACTTTTTAATATTTTAAATAAAATGATTTATGTTAACTCTTTAACTCCAAATTTTAGTTCTAAATTTTGGTTCCAGTTATCATTATTTCTATACCCATTTGTAATCAATTAATAAGAAGAAATTATATACCAACGGCTTGTTGATCCGAGTGGAAGAAGGTCGGTTCCTCTTAAGTAAGGTTTCGAATTCGAATCTTATGAATAGAAAAACAGGTGTTGGGAGAGCTTCCTCCCTAATGGGGTCCAGATTAGTCAGGACTCAAAAGTAATTACGGGATATTGGGAGGTTAATACAAAAAAAAAAAAATTATATAGATCAATTAATTCAGTATTTTTACGAATGACCCAGTGTTTCAATTCAAGGAACCTACTTTGCACTTTCCTAATCCTCTCGTAGAAATCATGCCTTCCTCATTCCTCTCCCTATAAAATTCATCCCTTCTCGACAAACCCTACTTCACATCCCTTCTGTTTTTCCAAATTCCAACAGTTGCTACTGCATTTTCTTCTGTCTATCATGTTTCTGAGTCCCCAAAACTCGATCCTGGCATCCGCCATACCCCAAGATGATGTCAGTGATTCCAGATTGCCGGTAAACCGCCACAAGCGAAGGTGGCGGATGGCCTACACTGCCATATACTTCATGAGGGCTCTTCTAGCTTTGTCCAAGAAAGCTCTTGACTCCAAGAAAGGTCTTCTGCGGTCTCCTTCTTACATTGTCATCGATGTTCCTGAAGGTAGCCAGAACGAGCATCCTCATCGCGAGCCTGTTTTCAACGTAGAACAGAGGACTCTCACCGAGATGGTGAAAGAGAAAAGCTTTGAATTGTTGACAGAACTCGGTGGAGTCAAACAAGTCGCTACCCTTCTTAACAGCAATGTCAATAATGGTATTAAAGGTAAATTTCACTTTTTAATTAGTTTTCTAACTTTCTTTTTATTTTTTTATTTTTTTATTATTTTCTCATTAAATATAAATATTTCATGCCTAAGCATATAACGCAAAATCAAAGTGTTTCGCAATCGAGAACCTTCAATATCAAAACCCTGCCCTAATAACTGTTGTTTTACCGTGCTACACGAAAATGACTGTTGTTTTACCCTGCCCTAATAATGTACACGATGTATATATTATTTACAATAGTAAATACTGACTTTTGAAAATGAAAATTTTCATTAAACTAAAAAGTTATAAGTTTTTTTCCCTTTTCGTACAACATACTTGGCCTGACCTTTATCTATACTGCACATGTAGAATGCTTTCATAATTGACCAAACTAAAGATTTTGGATAATGAATGATTACTGCAGGTAGTGGGGCTGAGGTTATGCACAGAACTGAAGTATTTGGGGCTAATAAGTTCCAGAAACAACCTGCAAAAAGCTTTCCTAGCCTTGTTCTTGAAGCGTTTAAAGATACTACCATTATAATCCTTCTAGTCTGTGCTATCCTCGCCCTGGCCTTTGGCATCAAACAGCATGGTCCCAAAGAAGGGTGGTATGGTGGTGGAAGCATCAGTCTCGCAGTGGTTTTGGTGGTGGTCTTCTCTGCTGTCAGTAAGTACAACCAAAACAAACAGTTTGAGAAGCTTTCTGAAGAGAGCAGTGATATTCGAGTGCAAGTTGTACGAGGTGGAAGGCACCAATCTATATCGATCCTTGATGTTGTGGTGGGCGACATTGTGTCTTTGAAGATCGGTGATCAGATTCCTGCAGATGGGTTGTTTGTTGCCGGTCATTCCTTGAAGATTGATGAGGCAAGCATGACGGCAGAAAGTGATCATGTTGAGGTTAGAGAGATAAAATATCCCTTCTTGCTTGCTGGCACAAAGGTCACCGATGGTTTTGGATACATGCTTGTAACTTCTGTTGGTGTGAATACAGCATGGGGGGAGATGATGAGCTCCATACAGCGTGACTTGGATGAGCAAAGACCACTTAAAATCTGTCTCAACAAGCTGACTTCTTATGTTGGAAGGATTAGGTTGTCTGTGGCAGTAGTTGTTCTCTTGATTTTGCTAGTTCGTTACTTCACCGGACACACTAAAGATGCAACCGGGAAGATTGAATACAATGGGAGTAACACCAAGCTTGATGCTGTGATGAATTCAGTCCTGGGAATTATAGCTGCTGCAGTTACCATTGTGGTAGTGGCAATTCCAGAAGGGTTACCTTTGGCTGTCACTTTAACTCTGGCCTGTTACATGAAGCGTATGGTGAAGGATAATGCCACGGTGCGGAGATTTCTATAAAATGCGTTTGTATGTATATGATAATTTCGTTGTAATGATAAATGTTTTTCTTGGGCGTTACAGGTTTCTAACACTGAGACTAAAGCTCAAGCGACTGTTGGAATTGTGAATCAGTGCAGCAATGGCGGACTCTATCTGGACTCCAATGTGTTCGATCAGATTGACACTAATGGAAACAGCTTCGCTCAGGGGAGCTGTTAACTCATGAGATCAAGTCTATTAAAGTAGGGTGGTGGCAGTTACAATTAATTCATTTTGCTTATTTGTGTAGCAGTTTATCTTTTTTGTAGTTTGTAACCTTTTTTTGTTTCAGCAATTGTTATGTATTGAGTTTCTTTTCGTTAGAAACTGGTTATGTATGTATGATGTTGTTTTTACTGATATATCATAACACAATTCATGTAGTTCATCTGTGTTTATATATTTCATCATTTCTCAAGTTTAATCTTTGAATGTTTATTTTTTGCTCATTTTCACCCGCGTTTTCATTTTTACATCATTAGGAACCTTATTCTGGACTGTCAGTTTGTGAACTGTGGTGACTGAAGCAACATCGCTGTGTTCTTAAGCCCATTATTATACCCTTAGAATAAAGTTTTTGTTTTTTAACTGGAGAGAGTTGGAGGTAAAAGAGTGAGTGTTTGGATTTGAATTCATGATTTTGATGTCCTAACTCTTAACTCTTAAACATCGTCCCTCTCAAGAGATATTCACTAAACCAATGAATGATGAACCTTAAAATAAAGTTATGTAATAGTAATCACTTAAAAATAAGTGCTTTGGGAGTGAAAGTGTTTGTTTTCGATTGGCTTATTTAATTGAGAATAATTATATTCATAATTCAGTTGCCCATTATTCACTAACTCTAGCCAGCTGATGAAGTTTCTATTATTGTCATCAATAGTAGCGGTCCTGGCAGAGCCACGTTAAGGCTACTGCTTTCAATTGACATGTTGTCAAACTTTTTAATTAAAGTTAGGGTAAATTGCACTTACACCCCTTTAATTTATGAGTTGGGTGCACTTTAATTAATCTTTCAAATTATAAAAATGTGCTTTTAACTTTTTCATGGTATGAAAAATATACATTTTACTCTCAAATGTTTTAAAGATTTTATTTCCATCATCTTTTAACTTTTATTTTAAGTTTTTTATACCCACATCCGTCATTGTCAGATGTAGGATTAGCGTTTTCTTTCCTTGAGATTTAAGTTTTCGAAGTCTCTCCCTTGAGGCTTTAGCCATTGCCTATTTTCACAAAACAAAAAAGAAAAAAGAAGGGATATCTCTCTTTAGGAAATTATAAAAGAAAGAATTTTCTTTCTGAATTTCCTATTTTTTTTATCCTTTATAGATTCTAACTATTAATAAAATAAATAAATAAGTAACGCCACGGACAAATTGCGCGCCGGTTGTTAGGATTAATTATGTATATTCTGGAAGAGCCTCTTACTCGGTAATAGTAACTGACCATAATGCAATTCCTCGTCCCATCACACAATCTGATTACTCCCAATTGTAGCATAGCAATTTCCTCACCAACAGTGGGTTGGATTCTTTCGAGTTTTACATGTGAGGTTTATTATTTCTTTTTCAGGAAACAAATGATAATTTGGAGGATGGAAGCAATGAATTGATTCTCACTGATGAGGAAGTGGTACGGCTCCATATATATAGGTGAAGGCTTTGCTCATGTACCAAAGGAAGAAGTGGAAACCAGGATAGAAGAGATGAAAGAAAAGTGACTACAAAGAGCTTGCAAAAATTGGAGGAAGAGAAAGAATCTGTGCTGGCACAAATGGCTGAATTGAAGAAAATTTTATATGGGAAATTCAAGGACTCCATCAATCTAGAAGAGGATTAACTGAACTGAATAGTTTTTCCCCGGTAGTTCAGTTGCTCTATTCCTGTAACTGAAATACTTGCCAACTCAGATTGTTGTTTTTTGTTGTCAAGCTTGTTTCTCATTTTATTTCAAGTTTCGGGAAAATAGACTTTTAGCTTTGCCTCGATATCGTAGAACTAGACAGTTAGATACCTGGATCTGGATCAGATGAATGAAAATTGTTTGTTATGTGTTGAATGTGCCAAGTAATTTAGATGAACTTGTTTTTCATCTTTTCGATCTAAAATTGTAATTTTTGATATGCCCTTAGCATTTTGACAGCTTTATTGCTTAAGTGCTTTCCTAAGAAGATAACGTTGCACGTTTTGGCCCTCCAAGGTATTGAGATGAGGTTGCGAGTTTGGAGGAATTCGCTGCTTGATTCTGTAACTTTGCAGTCATATAAGAAGCTTATATAATAGGCTAGAGCCAGAGGGAATGTAATTGTTAGTGATCAATCTGCAGAATTAATTGCATAATAGCTTGAATTATCCAAGGCAATTACTTGATTCACTTGTATAAGTAGCGTTTAGTGTTCGTTCTCAGAGGTTAGGACTTCTTTGAACAAGATATCTTTCCACTACACCCAGCTTGGAGGCTTATGGAGAAATGCAAATAGCAAGGAAGCGCCTCCAAGCTAATCCGAAATCTTGAGCTACATAAGCGTTTCAATGGCTAAACATGAGATAGCATAGATACGATCAAACTACCTCTAAAGTGCATCTAAGATGCACGATGAACCATTTAAGCATCAAAACTGGTAAAAAGAAAATGAACAATGTAAGACATCAAACATCTAAACATGCTTTATATAAAGAACAAGAAAATATTTGGATGCTCGTCAGAAAGGAAAATTGGATTTCAGAGAGGAAAAGATAGAAAATCGAAAATTTGAAATGGGAAATCATTTTATCAAAGCATCCAGCACAACTCTAGAACTGGAATTTCCATTTTTCATCAAATATCCTTTTTTTTTTTCAAGAACTCAGCTAAGTAAAATCCACAAATATGCCTTAAATACAACCACACAGGGTTGAAAACCTCCCTAAACAAAAGATCTAAAGCTGGGTTTTGTTATACTGGGAAATCAGCAACAAGATTCGAACGAATAAAGCCATTTTCGGAATCAGTGTAACAACATAACACCTTTGAATCACAGCCAAAGACTTCATTTTTGTTGCGTTGCAACAAGGCATTACTCATCCGCTACGATCCTACAAAATTAAATTGCATGGCAATGCAATAAGGCCGAACTACAAAACAAAGGTGATTGTGCAATAAGCCACCAAGTTCCCTGAAGTGAAGTCGACTTTGCTTACATTGTTAGGAACAAATTCTACAGCTTTCAATTTCAACCAATGATGTGGAATTAGAAATACAGAACAACCTGAAATACCTAATTCTCATCAAGCCCTGAAATTCCAATTTTCACCGTCTAATTGAGTCTGACTAAAGAATAAAAATCAGCAGGATCAATTCACGAATCAAAGAAGGCCTTGCAAATTAACATCTTAGTGCTGGAACCTGGAACACCACTATTAATCAAAAAAGAAATGAAACAATTCTCAGTGAACATCAAAAAAGGATCCTTTAATGAACAAAATGGTCATCAAATCCTACATCCAGAAGCTCAGGACAAGAAGGGCCAAATCAGAACATCCCCAGATACCCCACATTGAATCAAACTCAAAACAACCCAAATCCTAATGATTTCCCAAAAGGCCATTTCATAAACAATCAAATCCGGGTATAACCAGTAGTGGGCCTCAATGGCTGACCGCCAACAACAGAAAGCAATCCGCCTTCCTCTGCGGTCTCTACATCCACAAACAAATCCTCAGTGTTCCTAAATGCGGCATGAACTCCAACAACGACAACCCCAATTATCAAAGACACCAAAACATTAGTACCTACTTTAGTAAACACCAAACAAATCACAGTAATCAAACTCAAGATCGCCAGAACAATCCTATCATCAATCACTCTACCAAGAACCACAACTGGGTCATCGCGAAAGAAGTAGAAGAACCACCACAGAACGAAGACAATCAAGAAGATGATCATTGAAAGCGGATGCCATAACAAACTGAGGAAGAGGATTACAAGCATAATCATGGCGTAATTAACGCGGAAGTAAGAGACATTCCGCCTTATGCGAGCCTTGGCATCGGCAGCCGAGATGGGGAGAGAGAAGGAGTGGAGATTTAAGAACTCGGGCCAGGGACGGCGCGTAGGCTTTGCGCGAGAGAAGGATTGTGAGTCTGTGACAATGGTTGTGGTGGTGGCGGCGGTGATGGTGGAAGAGATGGTTCCGTAACCGTCGGGAGATTTCAGTGACATTCTGGTATTGGGGTTTTGTCAGTGATGAAAACTAGAAGAACCGAAGAGGAGAAAGTAAGGCGAGATCTGAAGAATTTTGCGAGTCGGAGAATCTCAGATCCAAGAAAGGGAAATAGAGAAACCCTAAAATTTGGATTCTGAAGGATTCTGTAGGTAGACGATGAAACAGAGTCGACAGCAAACGCGCAAAAATGAAGCTTTATGCCAAAGACTTTCTTTCAGCATGATTCTTACAAGTGTTTTTCGCGGAAGACTTTACATAAAAATATAAAATTTATATTCTAAATTATTTTAAATTAATTATTTACAGAGATTATATAGTATGTTAGGTCACTTTTCTTTAAAAAATTAATTTTTTTCACTTTAAAAATATTAGTATTTTTAATGAATATTATTAAAAATTAAGTGTTAGATTGAGTGCAGAAAAAAAAAACTGTTGAAATTAATGATATATTATACATACTTATTTTTAAATTGATTTAATATTTATAATTATTTAATTAACAAATTTATTTTTTAATACAAATTTAATGATATTAAAATTTATTTAATCAATAAACTGTAGTTAAAATTGATTATAAAAAGAGAAATGATCCATTTATTTAACTCTTAAATATTTTTTTTAAATTTAAAATGATGCTGATAATTCAAACAT